AATCCGAGTGGGGAACCCCCCCTGAGTCTTTAGTCTAGGGGGCTTAAGAGCTGTGTCTCCTATCCTGCCAGTGGGGTGTCCTGAGGAAGTATGTCACAATTGGCCTGAGGTATGGGGGCAGAAAATAATTCTGGAAGAATCCTAAAATTAACCCAGGCATGAGGTCCTTGCAGTTTTTGCCTCAGGCAAGGAATTAGGGTGTGTGTTTCCTACTCAAGGAGGAACCACCCAGAACCTTTCTGGCTGCTTTGTTCAAGACCTTGCTTGAGTCCTGAGGGTATGGTCTGGAAAGGGCAACCTATTTGTGCCTATAGGCGGGGGTCTGATTTCTGCGCTCACTCAGGCCTAGAAAATGTCCAGCTCTAGTCGGGAACCCTGTATCAGGATAAATCATTCTCTGTTAGGCGACTTTTTATATAACTGATGTTTCCAGTTACTAAAAAAGAATGTTATTCAGTCAACAAGGTATATGACTGATCATCAAGGGTAAACACAATTCTGATCTAACAAAGTCTTTGAATTTGTGTTAATAAATTATTTGAAACTCCTTTTCTCTATTATGACACTTTTTTTTTGTAGAAGAGAATGTTATGAAGAATATTTACTATCTCACAGTGTAGAATGAATTTTCTTTTATTGTTTTTTGTTTTTGTTCTGTCTTTTTGAGACCGAGTTTTATTTTGTTGCCCAGGTTAGAGTGCTGTGGCCTCAGCCTAGCTCACAGCAACCTCAAAACTCCTGGGCTCAAGCGATCCTCTCACCTCAGGCTCCTGAGTAGACAGGACTACAGGTGCCCACTGCCACAACCGTGGCTGTAGTATATCCTGTAGTTAATACTTTACTATTGTATCTGTTTAATAATAGTTATTCCCAATGACTTCTAAATTTCTTTTGCTTTTTAGATAATTCCTTTTCTTCTTCAGATGCTATACTGTGTAAATTCTAGGAGCTTAGGCATGTATTCGTAGGTTAGATACTTAAACTGCATTGTAAAAGGAGAACCTGACCACATCTTATTTTGCTTTTTTTTTTTCCTTTCCTGGTGGTTTGCTACTTAGAGTTATTCTTCATAGGATTTATCTTCATGGGATTCTTCTTTTATATACTGATCACAAGACTGACACTCTTGAAGTATGACGGTAAGTGAAAATTACATAGTTTAACTAGATGTTAAAAAGGAAGATACTTCTTCCACCTTCCCTTCTATTTTGACCTGTATTGTGTTTGACATCCTATTGGGTGTGTAAAATAATGGGCCCCCCATATTCTAAACATCTTTTCTAAATGAGTCATTTAGACCTTTTATTCTGGGCTTTTAGTCTGCATGGTGAATTCCTTGCTCCTTAGGAAAATGAAGGGTCTTGTTGCTCACAAACCTGTATTCTGGCTGTGAAGGTACAAGGTGTAGAACAATGAAAATATTACAATTTTCTTTACCAACAACTCCCCCTTACCTTGTCATGCTTATCAGGAAGCTTGTCACCTTTTTTCCTCGGTCCCAATTTATCGAGAAGTCAAGGCTGGCTCTGTGAAGTTTAGCTCCTGGGCTGGTTTCCACGTGTCAGCCCAGCCCCCTCTTTGCAGCACGCTGGCTGCACGGCACCATGAAGAGCCCTTGGTGCCTGACCTACAGGAAGGCTGCAGCTGGCACCAGTAATGGTTCTGTGTGTCTGAAGCGCATGGTCGGAAATGCTGCTGGCTCTCCAACATTCCTCTTCTCTCTTTGTCCAGTGCGCCTGACCCTGACGGCCGCTGCTGGAAGTGTGGGTGGAATCCTCTTGGTGGCTGCGTGGTGGCGATTTGGAATCCTCACGCTGTGCATGCTGTGCGTGGGACTGGTGCTGGGCTTCTTCGTCTCCTCGGTGACTTTCTTCACTCCACTGGGTAGGAGAGGTGTAACCCATGCTTTGTGTGTTCGAGCCATTGTTGGAAAAACTTGGGTTTGGCTGGTGGCGTGGTGGGGATCTCTGGTAATCCACACTGACAGTGTGGCACTTTTAGACAGGACCAACACAAATTAGAATCCTCCTTCAAAATCACAGTGTGTCAGATGAATTATAGGATGTCTTTCAAGGTAGCTCTGTATTTATTGTGGTAAAGGGTGTATGTTTCCCTTAGAATTTATGGGGATACAGGGGACTCCTAATATGACAGAACAGGAGTTAATCCTTTTAAAACCCTGGAGCTTGGCTCAGTGCCTGTGGCTCAAGTGGCTAAGG